GAATATAGATATATAAATAAATGTTCAGCTGGGTTTATGTAAAAGTTTTTCACACTGAGGTTTTTAAGTGTTTGTAAGGGCAGACACATACCAAGCCGATGTGAAAGAACTACCAGCAATGTAGGCCGACTGTAAATGTCACCTCACATTGCCTTTGACTGGGCCAGCTGGGTCAAAAAAGTGGCACTTAAACACAACGCACGACTACAGCCAAAGACCAACTGGCATGTTCAGCACAACTGCTGTTTATAGCTCCTAATTGAGAATATGTACAATAGGAAGTTGCAAATGGCACTGCCGTTCTTTGCCCTTAGTCTTTTGGTTCTAGTTCTTTCATGTCGGCTTGGTGTCTCTCTGCCCAAAGACTTGAGGCGATTCAGACCTCCTGTTTAGGACAACGCTGGACTTTGTTCTGTTATTCTTTGAGTTGTCACATTTTTTGTACTCCATATTTATCAAGCATCTAAGAATTGCCAAAAAATTCTCAAGAGTGACACATATCGGGAACCAATTTTAGGACTAGAAAAAAAGCAGTTCATCTTCTTTGTTTATCTACAAGTAATAAATTACCAGGCTCAAACAGAATCTGTGAAAATGTTTTTCTACAGTTTTCTGCGGTTATTCGGGATGCAAATCTGTGGAGTTTTTTTTTTGCTTGTGATGTAAAAGAAAATGTTCATTTATCTAACAACAATTATTTTTTGAGCAAAAGAAATGAATTAAAGCAACTAAAATAATCTTGAGCAGGGTGAAAGAAGTCACTTTATATGAACTTTTAAATTTGACATTTATTTGAAATTCCACCAGCATAAAATTTGAATATACGTGGTCACTGAAATACAGAGTTTAGCTTCTTTAAACGCAGGCTACTGAGGTAAGGCAAAAAAAATCACACGTTGCATATCTGTTAATGCCTTGTTTCTATAACATTAGAGAGAATTGTTGTAAGGCTGGAGAAGTTACTATGTCTGCATTATGCCAGTTAAAATATGAGGTTTCTCAATTACCCACTTTGTTTAGAGTGTTACACATCTCTTTTCATCGTTACATATAACGTTGTTTACCTAACTATGGAGGAGAAATTCAAATTAATTAATGCCGTCGCGGTTTGTTGTGCTGTCCACTTTGGTGCAGAAGCAACTTGGTTTATACACGTGATGCGGAGAAAAATACAGAAAAAAATCACACGTTGCATATCTGTTAATGCCTTGTTTCTATAACATTAGAGAGAATTGTTGTAAGGCTGGAGAAGTTACTATGTCTGCATTATGCCAGTTAAAATATGAGGTTTCTCAATTACCCACTTTGTTTAGAGTGTTACACATCTCTTTTCATCGTTACATATAACGTTGTTTACCTAACTATGGAGGAGAAATTCAAATTAATTAATGCCGTCGCGGTTTGTTGTGCTGTCCACTTTGATATTCTGGCTCAAACATGTCAAGTAGGATTTGAGATATTGTCATTGATGAAGACAGTTTATTTGTCAGTGTTTTTTTTTTTGGTCCCCATCGAGATGTGTTTCCCCTGATCAAAACATTGTTTCATATATTCTAGCCACAGGGCCTGCAAGCCAGTGACTTCTGTGCCTGTCCCAAGCCTGGATAAATAGAGAGGGTTGTGTCAGGAAGGGCATCCGGTGTAAATACATGCCAAATTTAAACATGTGAATCATCAGTGTGAACTCCATACCGGATCGGTCGAGGCCTGGGTTAACAACGACCGCCACCGGTGCTGTCGACCT